GGAAAATGAGAACAGATTCTGGGAAGGTAAAAGCAAAATCTGAGCTGCCATTTCTTCTGGACAGCCAGAAGGACGGAAGGGCTGTTCTCATACCGAGTGAGCCAGTCTCTAAAACTGAAGGAATGACTACTCAGGATAAGAGTGAGGAGCTGGGGCTGAATTCTTCAAAGCAACCAGGCACTAAGGCTGATCTCACGGAGGCAGTGGTGATGGGGGAGCCTAAAGAGATGACTCAGCCTAAGGTGGCAGGCACCATGCAGGCATTGATTCCTTTGGAAAGTGGATCAGGCATGACTCAGACTTCTGGTGTTAGCACAGAAACAGGAGATGTAGTCAAAGATATGGGTGCAGGCTGTGGTTTGTATTCATGTTGCTTCAGCAATTTCTTGTCTTGGTTTTGTAGTACTGACTTGTTACTTTTGCTCTCTTCCTCTACTCTCAGCTTAGACTGAGAACTTATTGCAGTTTTGGGGGCTTCTTCAGAAGGATATAAAGGAATTCTGAGACTCTCTGAGACAAAGTTCTCAGCTACCAGTCTGGCTGCACTGGAGTTAACTAAACATTCCCTTTTCAAGTTTTCTCCAGATACAAGTCCATATTCTGTACCCATAGTGGTAGGCTGGCTGGGGAGAACACCTGATTTTTGTGTGTCAGCTGCAAATGGATGACCTTTAGGCTTATCTGCATTGTCATCATCCGAAGGTCCTCCAGCCCGTGGTTGAGAATATCTCTTTTGCTTTGGTTTCTTCTTCTTTTTCTTCATCATTATTGGTGTGCTTTCTATATCCCAGGCCTCCCTGCCAAGATCCCTCTGGGGTTCAAGTGAGTCAACATGAATACTTTTTCTTTGGTTCCCAGGCCCACCACAGGAGGATGAACCAGAGACCCAACCTGACTCAGACAAAGAGCAGTGGCCCAGCCTGTGATCAAGAGTCTTCCATGGAGGAGAGCCTCCCAGCAGCTCAGGAGGGACCCTGGCAGGCTTGGGCCGGGTTGACCTGCGGTCACTGGGTCTGCAAACTTGTTTGGCTTGTGTGGGAGGGGTACCGCAATACATGAAGTTGGCTAAAATTCCAAACAAAAAACTCCTCGTTATTGTTTCTTAAAAACAACAAAAAACAAACAAACAAACAAAAAAACCAGACCATATAAATGACTAATTTAAGGAGGCTATTTTCACTAATACATATAGTACTTACTGTAATTTGCTCAGGAAAACAGTCTTTTCTAAAACATTTCTCACTTTTAACTGGCGCTAGCAAAAATATTTAACAGATCATCATCTCAGGTAAAGATTGTTTTCAAACATTTATAAAATATTTGAAATTTCAGAAGTAGCAGGATTGAACTTTTAAAAATGAAACATTTCACATCTTTTAACCTCTAAAAATAAGCACTTACTGCCTGTAAATCTCATCTGATTTATATTGGTCATTCTTAGTGCTTGCCTCTTTTTGGTGAAATTTATTAATTGCTTCAGTTAAATATACATGATTTTGGACAAAATTTATAATTCTAAGACTAGGTCACCAATATTAAACTAATACTTGTCAAACAAACCAGACAGATTCTGGGAACTAGATAAGAAGGCCAGACTTAAGTCACTTCACGCACACACACAAAATATACTGAATCCACATTTTGGTCAGAGAAAAATTCTCATGATTCCAGAACCAGAGCATCCTACTTTGAAAGACAAATATGTTAAATTTCAACATTCTGCTCCTAAATGTACTTCCCAAAAGACAGAGAAATATATATAATGTTAAGTAGGATAATTAATTTTAACAATTAAGATGAGTACCTTTGGAAGAGTTTCAGCAGGTGATCTGGTCTAACCTTCCTCCCAGTTAATATAATATGGATCCAAGATCCTGGCAAGAGTCTCATTAAGAGCAGGTATATGCCAGCTCCTGTCAAGTCTGACCCAATAAATTGATTTCCAAGAATATTATAATATGTAAATAGTGGATTTCATTCTTGTCCTTACCCCTCCAATATCCTCTAAATCCTAGCCTTTGTTTAATATCTCAGGTTAATTATTGCATCGCTCAAAAAATTGCTAGGCTATAGTATCCCCCAGTATTTATAACATTTAATTCAGCAATTAATCAGCAGCTATTCAGTGCCATCTTTTATACTATTTTATTCAATTATTATGTAAATCTTGGGTTTCAGAGTTCATGCCTGAGAACTTATCTCTTCATTCAGGTTATAATATAATAATTCAGGGGGCAAGGACGGGGACTTAAATATCTATATGCCTTAACATGGTGTATTTTGTATACCATAAGCACTTGATAAATCTTTACTGATTTGTTGAGTCAGTAAAACAACATTTAAAAAAAAAATCACACATTTATTTAAGCTCTAGTCTTGTGCTAGGTAGTGTGCAAAGCATTAGAGATTCTAAGTGAAATAAGTCATGGGCCCTTATGTCCCATATGTCAGGATGTCCACATTCCAATCATAGTCACAGAAAAGTAAACAGAAAATCAAGTTGATAATCATATACATATGCTTCTGGGTTATTAAAAACAGGTAATCTTCAAATTCACTGAATAATCAAACTTTAAATTGGAAAGTATCTTAGAGCAGTACCTCTCAAAGTTTAATGAAAATTAGAATTATCTGGGGATCTAATTAAAATGCAGATAATAATTACAAAGGCCTAAGGTAGAGCCCAAGATTCTGCATTTCTACCAGCCTCTCAGGTAATGTAGATGCTGTTGGGCCATGGAACACTGTAACTAGTAAGACTTTAGAGAACATTTGACCAATTAATTTATATTATAGCTAAGTAAACTGAGATATAGGCAAGTTATGTAACTTGCTTAAGACCACACAGGATAGAATAGTGAATAGCTGAACCAGATCAAAATTTGGGTGTCCTTTCTTCACTATGAAAACAGTGGAGAAGGCCAGGCACGGTCGCTCACGCCTGTAATCCCAACACTTTGGGAGGCTGAGGTGGGCAGATCACCAGAGGTCAGGAGTTTGAGACCAGCCTGGCCAACATGGTGAAACCTCATCTCTACTAAAAATTAGCCGGGCATGGTGGCAGGCGCCTGTAATCCCAGCTACTCAGGAGGCTGAGGCAGGAGAATCGCTTGAACCCAGTAGGTGGAGGATGCAGTGAGCCAAGATCACGCCATTGCACGCCAGCCTGGGCGACAGAGTGAGACTCTGTCTCAAAAAAAAAAAAACAACGACAACAACAACAAAAAAAAACAGTGGAGAAAAAAAAAATTAGGTATCCTGTGTGGTCTTAACCAAGTTACATAACTTGCCTATAACAC